GGTTAGGCTGCAGACAAGTTCCGACCCAGCCCTGTAACTTTAAGCTGTCTCTGTGCCAGGTGACCAACAAAAACAGCTGTAGGCACTCCAACTCTGTTAGTGTCAGTTACCCAAGGTCTTCAGGGCCCTGGGACCTATACCATGATACTGGCACCCTAACTGAGCCCATTTCAGCCACTGTCAGGTTGGGAGAATGGAAAAGATAGGGCAGGTGATGGCAGCTGTGAAGAAAAGAGGAAAGCAGACTGGAGGTCGCTAATCTAGTGCATGAAGAGAGGACTGTGTAGGCTGTGGTCCTTTGACCCCAGAGGCCGTCCTGGTTCACTCACTCCTAGGCTCCTAACCTTTACCATGGGCCCTCGTTATTTGGACCTGTTCCTCCTGGTCACCAGTCTCCCCTCAGATATCCACAGGATGTCATGCAGCTGCATCCATAGATAAGAGACCTTGCACCCTGCCTGTTGGGTAGCCCAAGGGACCCACAGAGGTCAGCCGGAGGCTGCACAATCCCCTCCCCGAGGCAGTAGGATTCATTACTTCCACTTTGGCCAGATTAGGCTGCTCAGTCTTCTCTGATAAGCTGTGAAATTTCCCCACTGTGTCATCCACTGGCTATTGTGTCATCCTTTCCAGTGCTGCCAGAGCACACGGCCTGAGCCTCTCTTTGGTCCTTATCACAGGCTGCGCTGTGTTATTGTCCATGTTGCTACCTAGCCTAGTCCTCTGCTAGGCTGTGAACTCCTCGAGGGCCAAGTTTGTCTGACTGCTTTCTGCATCCTTTTTACCTTGAGTCACAACGACTTATTTATAAAAATATGATTTTTCTTTCATATTCTGAATTCCCTGAAAGTAAGGACTGTGTCTGATTCCTCTCTTTGTCCTCTGCACCTGGCACAGGGCCTGGCACAGAACAGACAGCAGTAAAGTTACACTGAATGAACAAAGGAGTCAAAGGCCCTTGGCCTTCTGGAGCTAAGTGAGAGGCCAGGGCACATTTCCCCAAGGGAGAAGCATGTTGTGTCCCTCAGTGGCTTGCACTCTCAGCCTGCTGAGCACTTGTCCTCAATGAGTCTTCTCTGTGGGGGCCTGTATCCAGGCCAGTCACAGTGTACTTCCTGGGAATGAGCTGCTCTCTGGCTTGAGCTTGGGCCTGCCTGGATGTCCCAGGTTCACAGCCCAAGTCTAAAGCCAAGCCTTGACCTGGGGTTCCCATTTCAGTGGCATTTCCCCTCTGTCCCTGATTGGGTTTTCTGCAACTGTCACTCCTCCAGGGAGATGCTGGGGCTCAGTGTGTTTGAGCGTGCCTTGGTTCTGTGCTACCACGTGCCAGAAATGCTCTCTGTACTGTAAGAACTACCATGACTCTTTGAAACAGGAAGGTGAATAAAGAGCTTTATTCTGATGGCTACTGTTTCTGATTTTTGTTGCTTTTGTTAAAGAAACTGAGTTGATGATCATCCTAATACTTATATCTAGTTTGTAGCCAGCTTCTTTCAAAAAATGGATTTTGAAGCACTTTCTTGCTTTTCATAAGAACTTTTACTTTCAGAAAATCTTATTAATAATAATCCTTTGCATTTTTACACATTGTCATTTGAACATAGTTACCTACTGAGGGAAGCAGGACAGAGATTAGCATGACTGGTTTAGTTGCATATTACATACTAGCTATTAAGTGGAGGAACTGGGATGTACAGAATCACCCCTGTCTGACACCAGCCCCATGCTGTCACTGCACGTCTTTTTCTATTTTGAAAATAACCTTGAGGTTCTCAAATTGAAGCTGGAGAGTCCACAAATGTTTACCTCAGTGAAGTGGGGTGATAGCTTTAACTTAACTCATGATTTTTACTTGACTGTTTGTTCCTTTGAAATGCTCAATGCACTGGCTGAATTTCGACAAATGTTTCCACGTAACTCAAGTTCTATCAGTAGGTCAGTCTGCTCCTCTTCAAACAAATTGACTACTGACAAGCTTTCAAATGGGCCTACCTTTCATCATAACACTGAGTTATATAAAGATGAAAGAATACATGAAGTTCGGAGAACTGCTAATTTACCTCAAAATTGTTTTACAAAAATTATTTATATAATCAGTTTTTAAAAATCCAGTGATCTATTTTATTTTTGTGTGTTCTTTTAGATTGCTTAATGTCTGAAGGAGAGGAATATGCACTACTACATAAACTTTAGGGCTCAATTTATTAAACTCATTCAATAAAACATTAAAAACCTCTTGAATATTGAAACAATGGCAAATTTGATTAAACTGGCTTAAACATAAATACCAGTTACAAATTTAGTGTAGTTGATCCTTTTGAACATTCCAAATAGTAGCTAAAACATACATAAATCCAATGAGTATAAAACATATCCTTATACCAAAACAGAGTACAAAAGAGCTGATGCCAGGGTTTTAACTTTGGTACGTATTGTTATTACGCCTTTTG